ATTATAGTGAAAAAGGTGCACATATCTCTACAAAGACACAATGCATATGACTCCCTAAATAGACAAGGAGTAACTAAAAGACAAATCAGATAAAAGTGTGCATGGACTGAGAGATATCTGAAGATTAACAGACTGATATAGTTGTTGATGTTTATCTTGTGTCTTGTACTATACTGCAAAACAATAAGAACACTACAAAATAGTACTTGTAACATTAAATGTAATACAGACACAAAATGTTTCTAAACAAACACTTTATCTCGAACATGTCTTTACATAGGAATGATCTCTACTTTGGAATGATCTTCAACCTTGGAAATGTTCATCTCGAATTTCATAAGGATCACTTCATGTTCCAACATTTTAGACACCATTAATCCATGAAAAGTCATAAAGTCAGGAACTTTATGACTTAACATATCCCTTAGAGTTAGATCCAAAGTTAGACGTTTTGTCTTAAGGTATTAAGAGCTAAGAATGAAGTTTTAGGCATCAGCATGCAGTATGTCGGGCGTACTGGGATGATACACAGGGCGTACTCACCAGAATGTAATATATAGAAAATTTTTGGCCCTTGGTTCTTTTGGGTTTGGGCCATGATTAGTTGGGTCAAGTTTAGGAAGGGTAAAATGATCTTTTACCCTTAATGCGATGGATTATAATATAGACCTTTAGTTATGGATTATTACCTTGAACATTAATTGGGATGATTTTTGGTTATGTTCAGCGTGAGGACCACTGTAGCAGCAGCGCGTGTGTCTTTCGGTTATCTTCAGATTGAGGTGAGTCTGCTTACTATACTTGTGGGTCGAAGGCAACAATGTCGGCCTACGAAAATGTGTTAGCTAGAATATTAGTTGTCTTTATGACTCTTGCGTTGTATGTTGGGTTGGGCCCATAGGCATGCATGTATGGATATGCCTATTGTAAGAGAGGATTGGTCCCATTATATGTTGGGCTAGACCCAAATGTATGTTGGGCTCGGCCTATTGTTTAGTAAGGGCTAGGTCTGTTACTATGGGTTGGGCTCAATGTGCGAGCTAGACCCAATGATATGTATGATATGTGGTATTTTGGGGAATTCACCAAGTTCTGTGCTTACGGTTTTATGGTTATTATTTTAAGTACTTCTAGTTCGAAATGGAAGGGTCTGGCATGACGGCACAGCATCCCCTAGAGGTTTGTCCGCAATAGGTTTTTTTTTTTTTTTTTGTTTTTTATTGTTTTTTTTTTTTTTTGACTTTTACTCTGATGTTTAAATACTACTTTCACCTTGAATAATTTTGGGAATAAATTGTTGTATTAATTATTGTTTTAAAAATAAAAATTGTTCCATGGAATCTTAGGATGTTATAATGTCTCTCTCTCTGTCTGTGTGTGTATGTGTGTGTGTGTATATATATATATATATATATATATATATATATATATATATATATATATATATATATATAGTTTTCTCAAAAATGTATGTTATTTACACAAATGACATTGTGAAATTTTCATATTTGATTCAAAAAATCATATTTTTATATAAACTGACATCATATCAATAAGATAGGAAAAACGAATCGGAAGACTATTTTGTAGGAAAATCTCAAAAGATACTTTCGAAAATTGTATTATTTTGCGGTTATATATGAGATCTACCCTCAAAATTGTTACTTGAAACATATAATGTAACAAAAAAGATAAACCTACATATAATATAAAATAATTATAAAAGACAGGATAAGTATGTGGAAAATGATAAAATAATTATCTTGGTCTTGTTTTTAATTTGCATGTAGTTTCTTGGATTATGCAAAAATAAGTATGTAACAAATGATAAAGTTATTTACTTATGTATTTATTCTAACATTAAATAGAGACCACACATACATGCTATCGAGACCATTTTTTAGCTCGTTCCTACACAAATCAGTGTTATTCTCACGTTTTCGTTGATGACATCTGCAAAAGAATAATTATTTGCGTAAAATATGTTTATTTTAGAAATTTGGCTCGATTTGATTATTTCTTAGAAAATAATAAACAGAATCGCATATATTTATTTTTCACCAACCTTTCTAATTAAGTTATTAAAAAGAAAACAACCTTTTTAATTTTTGATAAATTATCATTTTTCTCTCAATTGTCAAATTTGTGACTTGCTTTTTAAATTTCAAAGTTCTTATTTAATATCTTTATTTATATCTAAAATGTTCATTTCAAGTGTTTAACTATATTTGTTTATCTTTCATTTGGATTTAGCACAAAAAACTATATATATATATATATATATATATATATATATATATATATATATATATATATATATATATATATATATATATATATATATATATATATATATCTTCCTATCTAATAAAAGAGTTGTTTGTTTGCTATGTGTTACAATGTTAGACATTGTAATTAATATCATTACACTTGTTAATTTTAAATTTCAAAATTTAAATCACATTTTAATTATATTAAATTAATAATATTAGAATAAAAATAAAATAAAATTTATACAAATTATAAGATAAAATTTTACATATTTATTTGAATCAACGGTTATAATTTTACATATTTATTTGAATCAACGGTTATAATTTTATATATAACTGAAAAATATATTTTAATTAATATTTTATTTAAAATTATTAATTAATAGTTTTGAATTTTTACTTAAAAAGTTTAATTAATTTTCTAACCGTGGATCCCACGGGTTATATATATATATATATATATATATATATATATATATATATATATATATATATATATATATATATATATATATATATATATATATATATATATATATATATATATATATATATATAGGTTCAGGTTCATTTGAGATCATGCTAATTTTCTGAGACCGTTAGACCAAATCTAAAAATAATTTTAAAATGCAAAATAAATAGAAAAATCCAAAAATTCTTTTTTAAATATTATTTTCGGAACTTGAATTAACTAAAAAAAATTTTAAAAATAAAAATAAATAAAAAAAATCCCGTTTTTTTTTTTTTTTGAAAAATACGTGAAATATTGTAAATATAATATTACACTAACATATTCTGAAAAATAATTTTAAAATGCAAAATAAATGGAAAAATCTAAAAATTCTTTTTTTAAATATTATTTTCGAAACTTGAATTAACTAAAAAAAATAAAATAAATCCTATTTTTTCGAAACTTGAATTACACTGTACATATTTTAAAAATATTTTTAAAATGCAAAATAAATGGAAAAATCAAAAAATTCTTTTTTTAAATATTATTTTCGGAACTTGAATTAATTAAAAAAAGTTTTAAAAAAATTAAAAAAAATAAATAAATAAAAAAATGCGTCTCACGATCTCACAAAATTAAACCGTCTCACATGAACCTAACCATATATATATATATATATATATATATATATATATATATATATATATATATATATATATATATATATATATATATATATATATATATATATAAGTTCCGGTATGTTTTATCAGATTTTAAACTTATTCTTGAAACTTAAGAGTTTTTTTCCCAACATTGAAATTTTAGGCCGAACTCCGAAATTTCAATCTGAATTTTGTGAGAAAGAATGTTTTTCTTGACAATCCACGCTATTGTGGATTTGTTGATTATTTTGCCAACAAAAAATAAAACTTTTTTTTTGTTGATTTTCATGAAATATACATCACATTGTGGTTATTTTACTTAATCTCCTTAAAACTGTTGTTACTATCAGTAGGTCTGATAATTTTCGATACGACCCGTAATACGATCCATGACACAATAAGAAATAAACGGGTTTGGGTTGAGTTTTTCAACCCGTCAATCCGTTTATTAAACATGTCATATATAAGTTTCTCAAATAATATATGGGTTAACCCGCCAACTCATTTAGAATTTTAATTAAAAAAATTATATATTTTTTCAATATATTATGTATTATACACTATACAGTTTATATTTTATACCAAGATATGATACACGATACCATTGATCATTTGATATTTGGCGTTTGCGCTAAATAATCTTAGTATCTCACAAACAAAATCGAATAAGCCCTCTCTCGCTCTCCCTTTGTGATGTACAACATAATGAACTCACGAAGAACGACGACATTAGTGATTAAAATCATTATCGAACGATGTCGATACCTGAACGTAACGATGAACGGGCAACGTAGTAGGCAATTGATTTGCTGTGATCCATCCCACGAACCCGCTAACCTGTGAACCCGTATAAATAAGTGGGTTGACAGATCATATATGAGTTTATGTTCCAAACCTGTAAACTCGTGTTCCACCAACCATGTTTTGTGTTATTAATTGGGTCGTTTCGGGTTGGTATATTTTGACTCGTCAACCCGTAATCCGTCAACCCGAACACGATATAATTGTCAGGCCTATCTATGAAGTCTATCAGATTCTTTTATATCGTTTGACTCACACTCATTTAACCATATTTTTATGAGGTTGGTTAAAGGGACATCTCATTTGCCATTTATACATCCTATATAGTTTTTAAGGTATTTTTATTGGTTAAAATTGCATTGTTTTTTTGAAAAAAATTATTTAAAATAATTAATTACATGTTGACTTTTGATAAAGATATCTATAGAGTGTCTAAAGGTATCTTAATACCATCAACCTATTTTTATAGGGGTTGGCTAATAAAACACTCTATTTTATCCGTCATAATTTCTCTATATTTATACGGCATAATATTTAAACCCCCAACCACTCGAATATGGACACATTTCCAATACACTTATGTAGGCTATGTTGTAAGCCAAAAGCTCTTTAATATGTTGGATAATTGCAAAATTCCATGTACATATACTTTAGTTCTTTTTCTCGTATTTAGATGATAACGCATGCATTTATTGTTTAAAGCATTAACTCCAATCTTGCCTTGTGGCGTAATCATTATATATGTAGTATTTACCTCTCCCTGTATATATATAGGAAACTTTATTCAAGTGGTGTAACAAGAAGATTATTATGCATCCTCGCCTTTTCTTTCTGAGTGCTTTTAGCTTCTACTTATTGTCAACATGTTCATATATAACAAGAGCTCAAAAATCGTCGATTGCCACTACAGGGGTAAACTTGACTTTTATTCAGAAACATGTATGTATATCTACTTATAATTTGCAAATAAGTCTCCGGTTAAATAAATTTCACTTGGGCTTTATATTTTATATCTACCAAATTTATAGTTTTCTAGCTCTTTTTTGTGAACGGGTGGCTTGACCGGCTTTCTTAGTTGCTAATTAACAGTTAACAACAATCGTCTTATATGCTTTGACTTTTCAGATAGAAACCAGTTGTCAGGTTACTATATTTGGGTATATCCGAAAATGACAAAACCATTTAAAACAAGCTCGGTTCTCATCTTTTTTCACGAACAACAATTTGTTTTTGATTTTTTTCTTAATTAACCGACGACTAGGCTAGGAAAAAGTAAACTAACAAAGTTCAAACATTCCTCCAAATGATTACAATTTGATTCAATTCAAAATCAAGCTACATTTCTTTGTTTTATATATCATGTTTTTAGTTAAAACTCATTTAGTTACTAATCGTATGGAACAGTTTGTTAATACTTATTTATTAAAAGAATACCGTAATTGATTTGATAAGTATACCTATTGAATTGAAAATCATACATACTTCTGTTATTATTGTTAGTGGTTGCATGTGGATATTTTATTGAAGGGTTAAATATAAAAACAACCACATCCTTTACTTTTTTGTTTTTCAATTTCCTTTTGGTGACATGGCAGTGCCATGTCATTAAAACCACATAAATATAAATATAAATATATACTAAACTATTTCGTCTATATTCATAGTAGGACTTGAACACTCGATCTTAAGGAAAAAGACAACATTAAATATCAAAACTTTTTGGTCATTAAAAGCACACTTACCACATTTATTTTTGAATTATGGGTTTATCTTGAAAAGATATATATATATATATATATATATATATATATATATATATATATATATATATATATATATATATATATATATATATATATATATATATAAATAATAGTTTTTAAAGTGTTGGTACAAAATGCAAATAAGATTTTATTTAAAATAGTAAGTTTGATTCTTATAAAGTATATAGGATATGAAACAAATAAAAATGTGATATTGTGATAAAAAAAATATAGAAAAATAAACAATTTTCAATGTAAAAGAAATATCTAATTTTAAATAAAAATACATAGATTTAATGTTTTATGATTTTATTTATATACGTTCAATTTACAAGTTTTTTGAAAATAAAAAGATAAGAGAAAAATAACATATAAAAAAGTGTTAAAAAAATATCACAATGTATTTTTAACATATTATCATTTTAATGGTAATTGTGTACAAAATAAAGGTAGATGATCAAATTTGTACAATAATCATAATTTGTTGCTATAAATTCATTATTTTACCGGAAAACTTCCAGAAACTAAAAACAGCTAAACCATCAATTTCCGGTCAAAATGATAGATTTTAAATGCTATATATTACATAAATGATATATTTCTTAAAGTCATTATCCACGGGCACCAATTAGTAATTATATTTTATTACACATTAGTTGTGAAACTTATAAATTACATGAGTTAATTTAAAAAAAGTTAAGGTCAACGGTCAAAATATTTGAGAACTTTGAATTTATAAAAAAAATAAGAAAAATAATAAATTATTATAACGAAAATATTTTTTATTTTTTAAATTTAAACAAATAATTTAAATAAAAAAATTAGTGAGTTTAATTTTGGAAATTTTGAAATAAAAGATAATTTCATTAATGAAATTGATATCCATTTATTACTACATTTATTGCAATTATTACATTAAAATATTATATAGAATTTAGTAAAATAGAAAAAACTCATAAAATAACTACAAAATGATATTTTGCAATTAGAATAAAAGTGTGATAAGTGACAAAAAATCTTCATTATTTAGAGAGGATATCTGTATGTCTCGTGAAGAATAAATGATCCACGAGCACCAAGTAGTTGGAAATTATCATCTTCTCGATTGTAATTTTCAAAAAAAATCATATATATATATATATATATATATATATATATATATATATATATATATATATATATATATATATAATTTTGAGTAAATTACATGAATGGTCCCTATGGTTTGGTGTAATTTGCGTGTTTGGTCCCTATTGTTTGTTTTTGTTACGCATTTGGTCCTTGTCATACCTAAAAAAACTATTATTTAAATAGGAAAAAATGATGGGGTACGTAAGGTAAGGTGAGAAGGGTGAGATTAAGGTGTGTTTATTTAAATAAATTAAAAAATAAAGGGAAAAATAGACTTTTTATATAAGACAGGGACCAAGCGCGTAACAAAAACAAACAGTAGGGACCTTCCGAGTTAAAAAAAACAAGTTAGGGACCAAACACGCAAATTATCCTAAACCATAGGGACCATTCATGTAATTTACTCTATAATTTTGATGTACTTTTTTTTCTAGGTGGTAATGAGTAATGGCATAGTCCAAGTTACGCTTCAAAATCCAGAAGGTCATATCACTCGCATACAATACAAAGGAATCGACAATTTGCTAGAAGTTCAGAAAAATGAATCTAATCGAGGGTAAAAATATCATTTGGCTGTTCATTTATTTAAACTTCAAACGTTCATGTCATAAGTAATTTAGGCTTACTTATAATATGTTTTGAATGGTGTATTTTAGGTATTGGGATGTTGTTTGGAGTCCTCCAGGAAGTACAAGAACCGAAGGTACCTTGGAAAGGTAATCTCATATATGTATATTGTCTTTCTAGAAATTTGGTTTTGATTGCGAGATGTTGATTATTATGTTATAATTATACAGTGTCACGGGAACAATTTGTAAAGTTATAAAAGAAACCCAAGATCAAGTAGAAGTCTCATTTTCGAGAACATGGAATTTTCCCCTCAAGGGAAAATCCGTCCCTCTCAAAATCGACAAAAGGTTCTCGTTAATTACACTGGTAACATAACTTTAAGTATCCAAATTTCATAATTATGAGTATTGAACACAATGTGATGTATTATTGATAGGTATATTATGCTACGTGGGTCATCCGGTTTCTATACTTATGCAATTTTTGAACATGTGAAAGGATGGCCAAGTTTTGATCTCCAGGCCACTAGAGTTGCTTTCAAGCTCAGGAGAGACAAGTAATTATTAATTACATTAGTTCCTAAAGTTCACTTAATTTTAGATCGAAATGAAACTATCTTTTTATCTAGATTATGATGACATGACATTTGTTGCTTAGATTTCATTATATGGCCATGTCGGATGATGATCGACAAAGGGATATGCCTTTGCCAGAAGACCGATTGCCTGAAAGGAGTAAGACATTAGACTATCCGGAGGCGGTTCTCCTTGTTGACCCAGTGGATCCTAAGTTCAAAGGACAAGTAAAGAAAATTGTCACGAATTTCACCATATGCATGTATAGTACTGTAGAAGTTTTTATATATGTGGATTTTTTTATATATATAATGCATGCAGGTAGATGATAAATATCAATACACTTGTGAATTAAAGGATCTTCGAGTCCATGGATGGATTTGTAAGGATCCTGCTGTGGGATTTTGGCAAATTACACCAAGTAATGAGTTTAGGGTAGGTGGTCCGATTAAACAGGAGCTAACTTCTCATGTTGGACCTACAACTCTTTCGGTAAGTCTTCATAACAAATATTTTACGTAAAAACATCATATACTCAATTAATTCTTGTACATTAATGTGATCATACATGTATACATGAATTATATAGATTTTTTCAAGTGCTCATTATGGCGGAAACGATATGGTGATCAAATTTAAGGAAAATGAATCGTGGAAGAAAGTGTTAGGCCCGATTTTTATATATCTCAATACTATTCCTAATGGAAAAAACCCTTATACTCTTTGGAATGATGCGAAACACCAGGTTTAGTTTCTTACACACACAGATATATATATATATATATATATATATATATATATATACACACACACAACATGTTCTTTCATTTTAACAAATTATTCTTAATCAAACTTATTGATTAATTTTCAGATGTCCATTGAAGTCAATCGATGGCCATATGACTTTCCTGCTTCACCTGACTTCCAATCTGCTCGCCAACGGGGTGAAGTTAACGGTAGATTACTTGTCCAAGATAGGTAAATTAAGTCATCCTAGCTAGTTATCAATTTTCCACTATATACATATATTATTAATTAATTAATTTTACATTTGTGTATATGTAGCTTGATTAATAGCCCAGCAAACGGCGCTTACATTGGCCTAGCACCACCAGGAGATGTGGGATCATGGCAAAGAGAAACCAAGGTGAATCCCACAATGCAAATAAATACACATATCAATATTTTTATTTTACCTTTTCATAAAAAATTTATAAAAGTTCAATACTACTTACTTGAATTGCTTTATTCACCAGCAATACCAATTTTGGACCAAAGCGAACAAGGAGGGTTATTTTACCATAAAGAACATCATTGCCGGCGAATACAATCTATACGCTTGGGTCCCTGGATTTATTGGCGATTTTAAAAATTCTAAGATCATCAATATTACCCCAGGTCGTATATAGCTATTGAAACTTAATTATTAGCCAAATTAACTTCTTCCCTTTTGAAACCTTTATATACATAATTAACATAAACAATAACTTAACAACAGGTATTAAAATAAACATGGGTGAACTTGTATATCATCCTCCGAGATATGGTCCGACTTTATGGGCTATCGGCTTTCCTGACCGCACAGCAGCTGAATTTCACATCCCTGATCCTCAACCGAAATATGCCAACAATTTTCTTCTCCAAGGTCCTAATAGGTTCGTATATATTATGTACTAATTCATTTATGAACACACACATATATATATATATATATATATATATATATATATATATATATATATATATATATATATATATATATATATATATATATATATATATATATATATATATATATATATATATATATATTGATTGAACAGGTTCAGACAGTACGGATTATGGAACAAATATTCAGAGTTGTATCCACATCAAGATTTGGTATACACAATTGGAGAGAGTAATTATAGAAAAGATTTCTTTTTTGCCCATGTTCTTAGGTATGTTACATTACAGTTTACACTATTATTATTTTTATTTGGGGTTGGTGGTGATTAATATATAGATAACTTTGGTAAATGTATAGCAATGTTTCATTAAGTATAAGATACGTCAAGTGCTTATAACTTCACTACTCTCTTTGGAATTTCAAAGGGAAGCCGATGATGGAACTTACAAGAGGACAACATGGACAATCAAGTTTCGTCTTGACCATTTGAATGAGAGCGGAACATATGTACTCCGATTAGCTCTTGCTTCCGCACATCAGTCTAACTTGATGGTACTTAATTGGTCGTTAAAATTTATTCATATGCAAAATCTTGAATATTATATATAATAAATAAAATTCAAAATTTTCAGGTACGTATTAACGATCTGAACAATGATCCACTCTTTTCAACTGGATTCATTGGGGGGGACAATGCAATTGCAAGGCACGGAATACACGGCTTGTATTGGTTATTCAGTATCAAAATACCAGGCTCCCATTTATCCTCACATGGAACGAATTCTATCTACTTAACTCAAGCCAGCAATAAGACTCGTTTTCAAGGGGTAATGTATGACTATATCCGTTTAGAAGGTCCCAGGAGTTCTACTGTTAACAAAATTTCTTAATGTGAAAAACAATACATTGTATTCATCCTAAATAAAAATATCATGGCGTTACTTATAATCATATATGATATATCATTAACATTATTAAGGAATTAGTTATGCATTTTAATACTTCACATCCAATGAACTTATTTAACGCCTCTTTTTCTCTTGTCGCAAATTTAGAAGTGGTACCAGTGATTAATGCCGTTCTAAAAAGCCTTGTAGTTAATGAATTACCGATTACACCATTTTGAATTTATGGATTAGTGTTGCACCTGAAGTCCCACAACGTACACTAGTTCATGAAATGAAAGTTAATACAAGTTACTATGTAATATTATAACGAATTAAGATAGATACATACATGACATGTTTCTTGTTCATTAGCATCATTTCCTCGATTATAAAAACTTCATCACCCATCACATGGTTCACAACACTACTAGAAAATAGGAAAATAAACCCAAACTAATTTGTGTGTGATAGTAAAATTAAGCAACAAATGCTAATTTGTCGTATAAAATGGCATGTTAAAACTTCCGCTGACTATTTAGTGGCAAATGTTTTCATATTCAACAACGGAATAAACTAGCGATAATCCTACTTCTAACAAACCAAATATCCACAAATTTGGCACCGATTGACGACTGCTTTTAAAGAAAAAAATTGTGACCGATTTGTTTTAGTGGTGGATTGGGACAAACTCCTTTATAGTTCCCACCGTAAAAGATTTATAAAACATATTTATCATTAATAAGATTTAAGTTTTCTGCAAAAATTTGTATTGATTATTCAAAATTAATATATATATATATATATATATATATATATATATATATATATATATATATATATATATATATATATACTTATTTACATGCAGACATTTAATATAATTATGATTTATAAAAAAGAAGATTAATTTGAATACATTGTAAACAAAAATACAATCAATAATGGAAATAGCATTAATATATAAAAAAATAAATATGACCAAAATGCAATAACAACAAATAAACACAAGACAAAACATTATAAATTAAAAACTACAAATTGTTAATAAATTTATAAAATAGTTGAATACGTGATGTATCTTATGTATGTGAAGACACTTAAAATAATTATGATTTATAAAATAGAAAATAAAATTGAATACACCGTAAACAAAACACAATCAATAATGGAGATGACACTAATGTACCAAAAAATAAATATAACCCAAATGAAATAAAAAAAAAATAAACACAAGACAATATATTCTAAATTAAAAACTACAAATTGTTCATAAATATGGCATCCCGGAATTTAGAACATAGATTTCAAATGACTAAATTACGGTAAATTTGCTTGTAATTTAACTCATTCAGTTTTAGCGCATGTAATGAAATATAAAGAGTTCAATTCAATTATTATATGATATCAAATGATACTTTCAAACGTATAAACTGACAACCAAATCAAACCCCTCAACTGCAGCGTTGACTAATGCGTTTGAAAAACTTAAATTTTGATATCAAACGATACTTTACAGTAAATTTATTTGGATTTTTCAAAGCTTATTTAAATATGGTTTAGTTCTAAAGAAAATACTTTTTGAAACATTTTTAAGAGTACTATTACTGCGGCTAGCAGAAAACATGTGACTCTCACCAACCTTGTGTTGACCCTCAAAACTACATGGATGTTCAGGAAATCAGTAATCAAGCAAATTCAGACGACGGATAATCAGTAATCTCAAACAATATAGTTTACTACTTTTTATTATGTCCGCCTACCTGTTTAAGGCAATTTATATATTATACTATTATCTGTATGAACCATGTGTTCAAACACCAAGATGAATTATAAATGTTGTTTTGTTTATTGTTGTACTTGTGTTATATATTCAGTTTATCTGTGATCCATGAACTTAGTCGCAAAGCCCAACCAGTTCCGCCGCCTCGGCCGGGGGTGTGACAGATAGGTATCAAGCTAAATTGGTTATAGAGAACTCGTATCCTTGAAAGAAGAAATACAACTATAGCAACTAGCTTCTAATAAAAGTATTATTAATAGTAACACTACTTCTTGGCTACAAACGGTACAGAGAATCTGGTTTGATGGGTCGCATAGGGTTGTTTGATTTCAAAACAACTTAATTGCCAAAATGATCATGCTCTCAGGTGCTTCATGTGTGGCCCCTATTTGTGCTCAGTAGTTGGAAATTACAAAACAAAAATTAATAATACTACAAACCTCACTAACCAAAATATATAAGAGTTTATATATACTCTAACCCGCGATGAAAACACTTAATAAAAATTCTAAAAATCCCTCCAACTAAAACTACCAACTCAACCATTTAGGTCAGATGCCTCAATTAAAGGTTAGTTACGTACATAATCCATACCATGAATAAACCTGGAACGGGCACCTATGTTATTTATGGTTGGGCCAGTGCACAACCATCCTTGAGCAAGGAGTTTGATAGACTACAACGGTTGAAATTTTTTGAGATTGAAGAATGTTCTCAAGATTTGTTGCTGATACCTAGTACCTTAGAAACCTTATTTCAACCCCAAAACAATGTATACAAATCATATAAAAATAATTAAAACATGGGATAACGTTAAGCTTTTCCTAGTTTGCCTAAATCCTAAGAACGGATAACTTTGCTACCATCATAGCAGAGAAACCCATAAGTTTTCAGTATATCATTCAATAGTTTCCAAAATCCTATCTCCCAAATATGACAAGATTTCAATTCTCTTTTATTTGAAATCATAAGGATTTCAACTCCCTCCATATCATTTGGAAATTTGGAGGATTTCCGAATCAATCACCTTACCCTTATCACTTGGAAATCGGTAGGATTTCAGGAATCAATCTCACTATATAATTTGGAAATCTATAGGATTCTAAGAAAAAAGTATACTAATACACTTTCATGCAATATAATTAGTACATGCTTATTTATGATTAAGTAGTATAAACAACTTAAGTGTGCCTTTTTCTAAAACGTTTCGGATAAAGGCTTTCGAAGGAATTCACAAGCTCACCCAACATTTCGAATGAACCCAACACTAATGCAAACCATGATTACACAAGGGATTGCCACAACCTTAGCTACATATAAGGCTGCCCAGAACGAATCATCCGTGAATGGTGGAAGTAATGACGGTATTCCAGTCTTTAACAAAAACAACCTTATATCCTGTTCCCACAAGGTTTTCTTAGCCTACCAACCCCCATCCTTCTTTGGCACAGAAGAAGTTATTAGTCTATCCCATTGGATAGATTTGATGGAGGCAGTGTTCCGTATTGTGCCCATGATTATCATATTAAGTATGCCACTTGTACGCTAATGGATTCCACACTGACTTGGTAGAATAACAATGCCAAGTCTATAGGAATTGATGCAACCTATGCCATTTCTTGGGAAGCCCTGAAACAGATGTTGATCGAGGAGTATTGTCCACGACAAGAAATTCAGGCCCTAGAACAAGAATTGTTAAACCTTTCTATGAAAGAGTTAGAGGTGACTGCTTACACCTCCCGATTTAACTACATTGCTAACCTTTGACTGGGTATAGTAAACTAAAAATACAAAAAGATGGAAAGGTACATTTGGGGGCTAACTCCCCAGTTCAAGTTCTGGTTGTTGCATTCAGACCCACTACCTTTGATAGTGCTAAACAATTAGCCTATCATTTAACTGAACAATATCTCCGTCCGAGTACCACAATCCAACAGACGGAGCAGAACCAAACGAAGGGTAAGAAATGAAAGTACCACGAGGAGTCCGAAGGGAAATTCAAACTCCTCAAGCCCAAAACCTTTGATTGTCCACGACTCAAACACTCCCACTTCGTCCAAGTCTTACTTTCGGACTTTACCCCATTATACCGAATGCAATTTCCACCACGCCGGAAATTGCAAAGAGATAATTTGCAACAAATGTAACCGGAGAGGTCACATCTCGAAGTACTGCAGAGAGACCCCAACCATTACAACACCAACCACTACATCCAGAGGAAACCATAACTGCTTCAAATGCAATCAACCAGGGCATTTTAGGAAGGACTGACCAGAACTAAAGAATCATGATGGCCATGAAAGAGCACTGGTGATCAATGTTGAAGATGCTCAATAGGAACCAACCATGGTTTCTGGTACGTTTCATATCAACAATATTTATGCTTTCATATGACTTGATACTTATGATGATATAAGCTTTATTGACCATAGTTTTAGAAACATGATAAAACCTAAATTATGCAAACTAATAAAACTTACAGAATAGAAATAACAATCACTCCAATAAGAAAACACTTTAGAAACGTTCGACTACCCATACTAAATGATCAAGCCCTTGTAATTTACAATCAAATACAATAACCACGTCTTTCATATCGATCTAATTCCTATGAACATTGGAAGTTTATTGTGATCATCAAAATGGATTGGTCATCACTACATCGAATGGAGGTTTAATGATACGAAAAAGTCGTTCGACTACCCATACTGAATGATGAAGCCCTTGTGATTTACGGAGACAAGGAAGAGAAGAAACTAAGAGCTATCACTTACATGAAGGCAAGGAAGTACTTGCTGAAAAGATACTTTGCTTTCATGGCCCACATGGTGGATATGCAAGACAAGGGTAAGGAAATCAAAGATATTCCGCAAGTGTGCAACTACCTGGACATATTTCCAAAAGATCTATCTGGAGTACCTCCAGTCAGACAGGTTGAAATCCAAATCGACCTAATCCTAGGTGTGGCACCAGTAGCATGATTTCCTTATCGACTAGCTCCATCGGAAATGCAAAAACTATCCTGTCAACTTTAAGAACTTCTCGACAAAGGCTTTATCCGGTCAAGCTTCTCTCCATAGGGAGTCATGATATTATTTGTCAAAAGGAAAGATGGATCGTTCAGTATATGCATCGACTATCGAGAGTAAACAAGCTCACCATTAAGAACCGATATCCAGTCCCAATGATCGATGACTTGTTCGACCAATTGCAAGGATCCTGCTACAACTCAAAGATCGATCTAAGATCCGGCTACATCAACATAGATTTC